ATGGCACTCGTACTGAGCGGGAATGGGAGGTATTCACCCTTACCAGTCATTCGGATCCAGGTGCGGGCGGGGGCCATTTCGGTCGGTCGTCCTACGGCGGGCGGGCGGGCGGGCGGGCGGGGGGGGGGATACGAGTTGTTGGGTGCGCAGAGTGATCTGGAGTGTGCTCTACGGTGAGCTGCATATCCTGGTCGACGACATCTCGATCGGCGACATCTGGATCGGCGACATCCGGATCGGCGGCAGCTTGAGCTGCAGCAAAGTGATCTGCCTGCAGCCTAATCGATGGCTTCCAACACTATTTTGCACTCAAGGTGACAGTCAGCTACGTGTCTTTGCGCGTCAGCGCATGTGTGGTGCTCTCAGTAGTACGACCGCGGCTTGTACGAGCGAGCAGTGACCGGCGGGAGGATAGTGGCGAGGTACGGGTCAGAGTAGCCATTGATGGGCAAGGTTCCCAGGACATGCGTTGGCATGTTATCGAAGAACTTGTGTGGCCGCTTCCGCCGCGCGTGTGCTTGTGCTAGAGTGCGGGCCTCGGCACGGCTCCGCGCCCCGGCCGCCACCTGTGTCTGCGGCCGGAGCTGCGATCTCGGCTGTGGCTCCACAATGACCGCAGTCGGCTGGACACCATGCTTGCCAGCGGCGGACGATGCCGGGCGAGGAGGAGTCTTTTGCAGGCACTGATGCGGCGGCGGAGCAGGCGCGGCCAGCGAGGCAGCGGCAGCAGCCGATGGAGGCGGCGGGATCCGGCGCGCTGGGCTTCCTGCCGGACGGACATGGAGCTCTGGCCGGCGTAGCAGCATTTTCTCTCGCCGCAGACCAACAAGCGACGTAGGCTTGACCGGATCCGGAAGTTTGAGCGGAGCCGGAGTCCGCGGCAGGCCGCGACTCTCGGCATCTTCTGATCTTGGAGTCCCCGGCTTGGGCAAAGGTGGGCGCTTGCGGAGCCTCAGCGCCATGCTCGGAGGCGCAGCATGTGGAAAACCAAGAGAATGTGCCGGACGTACGCTCTGTCTCGCCATCGGAAGTCGCGAAGCCCGCAGATCGCCTGCAGGCAGCGGCACAGGCGTGCTGGAAGTCAACCGGCCAGGCAGCGGAGGGAAGCCCCGCGGGGGTGGCTGTCTTGTCCGCGAGTATGTCCGCCCTGCCGGAGCAGGCGTAGCATACATGCTCACAATACTGTCGTCCATGAACCCTCCCCAACCCGCAGTCTCTCTGCTAGCAGTGCGGTGTGTCCAAGCCGGTGCTGTACGCTGTCTGACTGGCTGCTCGCCTGTCGCCAACGACTACCCACACCAACACGCACCCGCCCTCCCCGCCCCCGATCAAGCATCGGAGCACATCTTACTTAATTATTGACTAAACTTAGGTTCTCTGGCTGGCCAGCATTGTATCGTTGTCATGGCCATCATGGTGCGCTGTTATGGCGATCAGTCGAGCCGCATCCCGTCCATGGCCCACACCCGGACCCGCGACGCAAGCCACAAACCCACCACCAGACACTCGCAAACCATGGCAACAGAGCTGAGCCAAGCCCATGCCCGGGCCTCGCGGGTCGGATCCATTCGCACCAGCCCGACAACCTTGCCGTCATCAAAACACATCACCCCAGTCTGCAGCGTCTTTCCGCCGATCCGGCCGACCACCCTGTCGCTATCGAGCACAAGGCGCGGGAGCCATGCGGGGTCGGTGCCAACCGGTGGGGCGGCGACGGCAGTGGTGGCGTTGATGGCGGGGTCTCGTCCGCTGCCGCGTGCGGGATGCGCTTGTTGACGCCGGTGGCCAAGAGGTCGCGGACGAGGCCGAGAAAGTCACTCTCGGCCACAATCAGGTCTTGCTGTATCCAAAAACCGAAGAACTCGCCCTGGTTGCGCCCATCAAACGTCTTGGTGTCATATTCTGCCTTGGTGGCCTCGTCAACGTGCGGCGCGAGAAAGTGCCAGTGCAGATGCGAGGTCTTGCGGTCCGGGTGGACCCACTCGGAGAGCGACGACTGCGACTGGGCAAAGAAGCTGCCAAAGTACCGATCGCCCGTGGGCAGACCATGCGGCCAGATCTGGACAGCCGCAGCTTCGGTAGCAAGAAACTGAGCGTTCACCAGGCCCGAACCGTGGATGGCAACCAGCGCGGTGATGCTCCGCATCTCTGAAATCTGCTCGTACAGCGTCATGTCCTCTAGCCGCAGCAGTGCGACCTCGACTCCGAGCTGGTTCCGAGCCGCCAGCGCAAGCTCGCGGTCGTTGAGGAGGAACCGCTTGTTGGTGCGCGTGATAATCCCCAGGCGCGCGCGCTCCGGTTCAACTTTGGACGTCGGCAGCCCGAGCCGCGCAAAGATGTGATCGCGCATCGTGTCCGCCCCCCGCCGCCACCTTGCACAGTGGGCACGCTCTCAGTGAAGCATGTACCGTCGGCCTCGGCCCAAATCTTGCGGTAGCAATTGTTGGAGAGGAGCGTCAGCGTGTCGAGAAAGGCGCAATGTGTTTGCGCATCGCCGCCGGTCACGAGCGCCACAAACTCGCCCGACGTCACGCCCTTGCTCACTACGCGTTGATAGTACGGCGCGTAGAGCTCGGCCCACCAATGGTAGTACATCGCCCGCTGAGCCGCGTTGGCAATCGAGACCGTAATGACCGGCTCATACACTTGGACCTTGCACTCGGCGGTTGCATTGCCGACAGCGGCGAGCTTGTTGCCACGGACGATGCTCCACGCTGTGTGGCCAGCCACCCAGGCCGGTGCCGGCTTGACCTCCAGCACCTCGCCGTCAGGGCAAAGAGGTCCGGGCGCTGCACGGGTGAGGCACACGCTGCTCGACAAGCACCATCCACACCACGAGTTGGCGAGACAGCCCTCGCGATCGTGCATGAGGCACGGGTCCGAGCTCAGCTCGCACATCAGATACGGCTCCAGCGGACCGTGGTCGGTCCCATCCGGCACACGGATCTGTGGCGGAAGGCCGGTCGGTGCCATCAGCATCGCGCTCAACCGCTTTTCGGCGTCCACCAGCCGCGTATAGTCATACTCGGGCTCAGCGGACGGCGCGATCTGCGGCACCATATCGTGCCAGTCGACCTTGCCGGCGCGGAACGCTCTTACCGCCGCCGGCTCATCGCCGATCGACCGCGAGCCGCGTGCATGAAAGCGCAATCGCTGCCCTGTAGCCTTATCGCCCGCCTTTGCATCCCCTCTGTCCTCGTGCAGTCTCGCTGCCGCCGCAGGCTCCAGCAGCTGCTCCAGCGCCTCGGCCGATGCCCGCAGCGCATCGGCGACTTGCTTCATCTTGTCCTCTACCGGCTCATCATCCTCCGGCGCGAGCACCGAGTTGAGGACATGCGATCGGATCGCATGCCCCGCCCGCGACAGTACAGCCGCTGCCGCCCGCCCGGCCTCCATCGCCACCGACGACGCTGCCATCGTCTTGCACGGGCTGGCCCCGAGCTCAACCTTGACCGCCGGCGGCGGGAGGCTCGGCAGCGGGTAGAAGGCCCGCGGAACGGCACTCAGCAGCAAACAGACTGCAAACACTAACATGATGATGGACAACCCGTCTTGTCCACCAGCCATGACTCCCACACGCCACCGCTACGCGTAGCAGTCAAGTGAGTCTCGTTCCAACTCGGCCCAGCCCAGCCCCTGCCGTGGCTACCATTAATCTCTCAACAAACAATGGTCAACCATTAATCTCCCAACAAACAATGGTCAACCATGAATCTCTCAACAAACAATGGTCAACCATTAATCTCCCAACAAACAATGGTCAACCATTAATCTCTCAACAAACAATGGTCAACCATCACCGTCCCAACAAACAATGGTTACCACCATGACGCCAACGGCGCCACACCCCACCCTACCTCCACCTCACCCCCCCACCCCCCACCCCCACCCCACCCACCTCCCCCCCCCCCCCCAGCCCTA